GGGGCGGAGCGGTGGGCTCGCGGGTCGAGCCTGCCCCGGCTGCAGCCCGCAGCGCGCCCCGGGAGTGGTTGTCGGTCTCTGCCGGTCGCCCCGGCTCAGCCCTGCCTGTGACCCTCCCCGGAGAGCTGAGAGTCGAGTGTAGACATCTGCCAGCCGGCCCGGAGTCTCTGTGATGGGCTCGGTTAGCTCAGGAATAAGCAGCATCTCCTCCTGGCTGGACTTGTGCTCTTGCTCTGCAAACCTGAGCTCCAGCTAATCTCAGTGTTTAACTGGCGTGTGTTTAATTAGCTTGTTTTACACCTGAGATGGTCTCAGCGAATGTCACCAAAGTGAAATCGTTGATAGAGAAAAACAAACCAAAAAAAAACCCCACAGAAAATAAAAACTTTTTAAAGAAAGTTAGAGAGAGGAACCTTCAGAATGTCAGCTGTGGTGTCTGGATATTTTACTCACCTCCTCTGTGGGCTAGAGGATGAAAACTGCTTGGATATCTAACTGACTAGAAGAGTTGGTGTTGGGGCTATTTTGGGCAGATTTTGTGGATGGAGGTATTGCTGCAACTTGCGTATTGTTTGTGACGTACACATTTGGTCTCTTGAAATAACCTTCTTGTGAAGAGTTGTTTTATTTACTAAGTTGTCTATTTAAAATATGACTAGAGAATTTTTTTTTTTTAATGAGCTTTAGCTGAAAACAATGTCTACATATTCAGGGAAGACAATTTGTTCATGTCGCTAGAACATTCCTTTGTCTACTTAAATTTTTCAAGGGCTACTTTTCTGCATCTGGTATAGAAGAAGCTTTTCATGAAAAATCAGATCCTGAGATCTTTATGTGTTCAGAAAAAGATTGCTACCTCCTCCAGCACTCAACCCTTTCCAAATGACAGATTAAATCAGAAAGGTGTGCCTGCATCTGGACTTACATAACTGGACGAAAAGAAAACAGTGAACAATTGTTGGTTGTCAGGTACATAGGTAGTTCTAAAAAAAAGTGGTATCTTTTTAGGGCTGAGAGGTTATTTGTTACATAGTTTAAGGTGGAATAAACTGATAGGGTTTTCATCTATAAAATTTTTATACTTAACACACACAGCTACATAGTCTGTACCTAATACTGGATTTACCAAAATGTTTGGTTTTGTATATACATTACTGTAGTGCCTACTATGTGCCACATCCTGCTCTTAGTGCTGCATGTGCCTTAACTCACCCTCAAAACAATCCTTGGTGGTAGGTGCTGTAATTGTCCTAATTTTTTAAATGGGGAAACTGAGGCACAGAGGAGTTAAGTAACTCAAATGGCTATAGGATAAGACTTTGTCATATCTACAAAGTTCTTTTTGTAAAAAAGACATATCTTATGATTTACTTATCCTTGTTTTTATTTTTTGAAGCATAAATGTCGAAAGTATTTCCGGCGAAGCATAAGAATCCCTGATTGTGCACGTGCTGCACAAGCACCGTTAACTATAAAGTGAGCAAAGTATGAAAGAACCATCTGGTTGAGTTTTCAGTTGGAAGGCCACCACATCCACCAGAAGACCCAGGATGGATCTGCACCAGAGCACTGCCATCACTTTCCTTGAGAAATGGTGTTCAGATAAGTCACCATCTGCCTGCAGGAAACATCATTATGTCAGGAAAAAACTGAAGTTAATTCGAGTCTTAGGCCTTTTCATGGGCCTTGTAGCCATCAGCACTGTCTCATTTTCAATTGGTGTCTTTTCTGAGACAGAGACACAGAGCACAGGGGAGGCCAGTGGTGCAAACGGTCCTGGGATAGCACACGGTTATCGGCAGAGAACTCTCTTAGATTTAAATGACAAGATTCAGGATTATACTCCACAGCCACCTGTTTCTCAGGAAGCCAAATCTGACAATAGCACAGATTATGAACAAGGAAACTACCCGAGAGACATCTTTTCCCTTGAGGACCGAAGAAAAGGCGCCATCATTCTCCATGTCATTGGAATGATCTACATGTTCATAGCCTTAGCCATTGTCTGCGATGAGTTCTTTGTTCCTTCTTTGATTGTCATCACTGAAAAACTGGGCATCTCTGATGATGTTGCTGGGGCCACTTTTATGGCTGCTGGGGGCTCAGCCCCAGAACTTTTCACATCTCTCATAGGGGTGTTTATTGCTCATAGCAATGTTGGCATAGGCACAATTGTGGGCTCAGCAGTGTTCAATATCCTCTTTGTTATTGGCATGTGTGCTATGTTTTCTAGAGAAATCTTGAACCTGACATGGTGGCCTCTCTTTCGGGATGTGTCCTTCTACATCATTGACTTGGTCATGCTGATTATATTTTTCCTGGATAATGTCATCATGTGGTGGGAAAGCTTGCTTCTCTTAACAGCCTACTTTGCCTATGTGATCTTCATGAAATTCAACGTCCAAGTAGAAAGATGGGTGAAGCGAATGATAAACCGCAATAAAGTCGTCAAGGTGACAGCACCAGAGGCCCAAGCAAAGGTTGGTGGTGGTGGTTGTTTATTGAATGTTCCGAATAATTATGTTTTTGAGATCTGCCATTTTTTTTAATGTGATGGTGTTTTGGGCTGCAGTGGATAGTAGGTTGCTTTCCATAGTTCTCTGATAGCCAGACTAATAGGGCAGTAAGAGAAATAATGCGGGAATATTCTTGTGAATGTTTACTAAGTTCTCAAGCTGTTTGCTTCAGAGTAAAACACTTGTATATATAGGTTACATAAGTACCCCAGAGCAGGCTCAGCAAACAAAATAATTTGTCTCTTATTTTCTGCAAGTTGGTATAATGATTATGTGAGCAATTTAATTTTCATGGGAAAGAGTGTGTGTGTGTGTGTGTGTGTGTGTGTGTGTGTGCGTGCGCACGCGCGCGCCTAGCAAATTGCAGGGCTTTTTCATTTTAAATAGTCACATGACAATGATCATGAACCATTTCTTTAAAGATGCTGATGGAAGAAGATGTGTTAGGGTCACCAGAGCTATACCTTTAAGTCAACAGCCTAGAGCCTAGTAGGACTGGTCATTAGAGTGAGTCATGTCTATTCTTGATCCACACAATAATGCTTCAGATCACTCGGCCAGGAACTGATCAGGATCCATTAAAGAGAGTCATTGGCAAGCCTTGCTACCTGCCTTTGTAGCTTGATGGCCCATTTTGTACGCCATGACAAACATGACCCAAAATATTTTTATATCAATTTAGTATAACTCTTTTATGGTCAAGTTTGATGACCCATCCATCTTTTTTGTAGCAGCCATGAAATGGAAGCAAAGTGCAGAAAAAACACACCAGTAATATTTCTATTTATTACATGCAAAAGAGAACTGTATTTTTTTAATATTTCCCCCAGTGTGTGGTTGTTTGTTAGAAACTGTAGTAAAAATAATCACTTCACAATATACAGGCAAATAAGCATTCAGGTGTCATGACTGAGTATGCGTCCTTGAGGGCCTAAGACAGGCTCATCATAGCCTAAAGGATGACCCCTAAGGCTCTCTCCTCAAGCCTGATTGCTAATTTGAGTGGTTTGCATTAATAGCCTATGTGTTTATTCCAGCTAGAGTACTGAATGATTGCCAGGGGAAAAGCATATTTTTTATTGGCAAGGACATGATTTGGTGTCTTATAAATATCCTGGGCACATCAAGGGTAAAATGTCTTTTTGAGAACTCAGCACTTTTTTCTTCTGTTAGTCCACAGTCGAACTCCATTAACTTAGACACAGACTCAGCTAGAGGTTAGAGGTTACATTGGTAACATTTATGAAAAAGGGATTTGCAGGGCAATGGAATGGTGTATTTAAGATTGTTGGGGGGCCTGCATTCTGATTGGGGGCTGGGGGCTGGTTTCATGCATTTGGGAATAATTTTTTAGATACAGTTTATAGACAGTATTTAATCAAACAGAAGCCATTCATTAAAGTAGCTCTAGCAGGATTTTTACCTGCTGTGTCAGGTAACTGTCATGTCATTTTTATGATCATTCAGAAGTCAAAAACTTAGGCTTACATTCCTTAATAGTTGTTATTCAGATTCATAATTTTGTGCTATGCTCAGTAGTGTGCATATTTTAATTTGTAGCTTCCGGATTTACCTAATTAAAAAAGGACAGAGATTATATTCATGACTATTACTCCTGTTTCTCATTTCACCCCCAAATGTGTTCATGTATTATTTTCCTTTTAGCACCAAATAGCTTTAATGTATTCCTTTTAATTAGTGTTATTTCTTTTGGTATTCAAAAACTAGATTGAACTATAAATGTAATGGAAATGGGATTTTTTGAACGTACCTATGTCTTGTTCAGTATTCAGAATGCTTGTTTGGTGAATCAAAAATGCAAGAACACAGCTATACATTTTTTAGGTGGAACAGTGCATAATGGTGTGTGATTTCCTTCAGGAAATTTTACCTTGTCTATTTCACTTTTGAGTTAATTATTGCTGAAAAAAATTTGTTCTCAGCAGTTAGTCTTTATCAAACTCCTGATTTCAGAATCTTATGGGGATTTTGCTCCCCAAGCTCTAAACATAAGGTGTCCCAAAGATAGATGAGTCCTTGAGTGTGGCCATATAATTCTCTGATCTGCAAAGTTGATTTCTGGCTGTGTACCCCACCTTTCCTACAGAAGTGAGTGTTTCTAACATCATCAGAACATTCAGAAAGAAGACCCTAAGCCAAAATGCAGCCCTCAGTGAAGTTTTCATAAAGAGGAATGTGCTGTGCATGAACTTAGGAAGGAAAATACTAAGCATGTTTTCATGTAAAGCCATCGCATTGTCTTATTTGCACAATTATGAGGCATAGGAGTCTAAGGAAGTAGAAGAAACATATTTTAGATATTCTTGTACAACCCATGAAAGATTCTGGCTAAAAAATCATCAGCTGTGCTGGACTTTCGTCTGTGAAATGTCTTTGAAACTACTTGCTTCCTAGACAAGTTGAAAATCTTAATTTGGTTCCATTATTAGTGATGTATGTCATGGGGCAACTGTGAAACATGGAAAAATGTGAACTGGCATATTTTTCATAGTTAAAGCAATAGTTTATCATTTCAATTGCACCACCACCCTATGTGTTTTTTAATTGCAATTATTTCTTTTAGTGATAATATTATCCTTTTTAAAAAGCTGTGCAGTGTCACGACATGGCAAAGGTACCCTGGGCCCTGCATCAGTGAAAAAAGGAGTTTAACATGCGTGTAATAAGCCCTGTGACCTCAGAGAAGTCACATAAACTCTCTGAGTTTCTTAATGGAAATAACGGTACCTACTTTAGAAAATTCAGAAAATTATTAAATGAATTGTTAAGCAGCTAACATAGTCCGTGGCAAATGTATGTTGTTCAGTAAATGTTAATTCTCTTTTATCTTTCATTCTAAAATGAGAAGAGAATCAGAATAAATTATTTCAAATTTGAGAATTTCAAAACATTTCTTGAAGGTTGGAATTCACCCCAGTGAATCGCTGAGTTAGGCAGGCCATTGGTTAGAGGCAAAGAGAATTTGTTGTGTTATAATATTTATAAGCCCTAGTTCACATACAGTGAATATATGCAGGTCTCATATTATTATAAACTCCAAGGAAACATCCAAATGCCTTTGTTGCCCTAAAATTTTATTATGTAGTTTTGCTTGAAATAAGTAGGCCATTAGCTGGGGTTTAGAAAGATCTATACTAAGCGGAGATGTTTGTTTTAAGGGTATTTTTATTTCTAAATGATTGAGATTCTCATCTAAAACCCCCTCCATGGCTAGTTTGGAATAAATGTGAATCCTGAAGGATGTGAAGCAGTGGAGTTTCAGGGCTTCTGAAACATTTTGCTATGTGCATGGCCTGCTGCTGAGGTCTGTTGATCAGTACGGTGCTAGGCTGTCATTGGCCTAGAAAGCAGCTGTCCATGGTATTTAACTTCTTCTTAGACTTGGCACCGTAATCTGACAGCAAGTCAGCCCGGTTGTAATGAAGGGAATGGTCTAAATAAAGATGCTTAAAGCTGGATAGTTGAGGAGCAGGCTACTTAGTAATTTAGGTGTGCCTGCTTTATTCAGTTTGTGTTCCTGAAAAGTTGTTTGTAAGCAGAATTTTTGCAGTTCAAATTGTTATTAATGTTTCATGGGAAGATCAGAATTGAAATAATGTTGTAAATATTCCTCATACAGTGAAGTATTTCTTATAAACCATAAATAATTTTATAAGTACAAAGGTATTGTCCCAAGTTTGCTTACGGCACACAGTATGTTACAAAACTCAACCTTTGCTTCTCCTCCAAACCTAGTAAATAAATGAGTAAAATAATTATACAAATTTCAAGGAAGGTAAGGTAAGATAGTCCTTATAATAAGTAAAAGGATAGTATTACTTAGCACCTGGAAACGGTCCTTCTCAAAAGAAAATGTGGGCACTAAAATTCTTAACAGACTAGATGCCTGTGAATGTACTGTGTTTTCTAAGGGTCAGAGTGGTACTATTTTTCTTGTTTTGTTTTCCTCAGCTTACATTAAAGGCAAACCCTGCAGTTACTGCATGTGATTCAAAGAGTGAACTAGGCATTTTGAGAGACCTGGAAAGCCCAGTGGATTTTAATACACAGAGTTCAGATTCCCTTCGTTGTCCCCCTTGCTACTCTGGTTTCTCCAGCAGGAGAGACCTTAAACTTTCTGAATCTTTCTGGCAATGTTCAGAGGAGGCATTACCCCCACATACCTCGTTTCCTCCATTCCTCCCCCTCTTCTCTCCTCTGTCCCTTTATCTCCCTTCCCCAACTCAACCTCCTTTCCATTTATTTATTTATTTATTTATTCATTTATTTATTTATTGGTAAAAGCAGATAACTTGTATTTTAACTTTAACAAGGATTGGGATTGTTATATTAAGCTCCTCTCTTGCTGTTGAGGAGACAAGTACATCTACAGTGTGGATTTGAGTGCTTTTGTTTTTAATTCTTTTACTATCAACCCTCTTTTGTTTTAGAAACAGAATATACTGGTATTTTGTTTAATTCAGTCTCCTAATCAATATCTTTTAACTGGGAGGTTTAGTTTACTTACATTACTCTGATTACTGTTACATTTATAGTATTTTCTGTCATGCTATTTTATATTTTGTATTTGCTCTGATCTTTCTATTTTATATTTTTTTCTTGCCTTTTGTTTTGGGTTGAATTTTTTCTAAATCTATTTTTCCTGTTGATAATTTGGAATTTATATACCCTATTTCTATTCTTTTAGTGTTTACCCTAAATTGTAACATGTATATTTAACTCACCATAATATACAGTAAATATCTTTATGCTCCTGCTGAACAACCTAAGACCTTAGAACATTTTAATTCAGTCACCTCTCCTCCGTTATATAAGATTTGAAGTGCATGATTTAAGTTCTACCTTTATACTTTATAGCAGCTTTATTGAGGTATAATCTTCACTTTTAACTCTACGAATTAGACATTGTCTTTATGCCATTGATGTTTTTAGATTTATGCACA